TCCTTCCAAATGTTCTGCTTCAAGAAAGATTTAAAGTGCAAAAGGTAATCAATAGTCAACTTAACATTGTTTTTGTAGAACTTTTATTATATTTCTAAATACATTGATATGTAATATTACATATAAATATATATATATTTAATTTATTTAATTATAGTTGCTCTGAAAATGTACAGGTTGAAAATATTTTTGCTAAAAGTAAGATTTTGATAACACACAAATCATTACATTCTAAAGATAAGCAGGTGTAAACAAAACAATAAGGGGGAAAAACTATTTTGCCTTCAGTGTTGCAACAAACATTATTCTGACTTATAATAGTCTTTTATTGATGTAAATATAGCATGCCGATTTAGCTCAGTTAAATTATTGATTTATGCTGTTAGCTCTGCCTCTTTGTGTGCTTATATTAATATATACTGATTCCATTATTTAGTTTACTGAAACCAGACAAAAGTGAATATACTTAATTACACAGCATCGTTTACAAACCTTCCCACCATAAGGCTGAAAGCAACTGCAACCCCAGCAATATAACTAAAATGTTTCTCAATTGTTTTCAACAGTATAACAGACAGTATTCACGTCCTTGAAACCTATTGTAACCTTGATATTTCTCCCCAATAATACATCTTCCTGAAGCTATTATATCTGCAACTCCAACGCAAATCACCTGATTAATAGACTGCACATCATAAATATCACCTACTCCCTAATATTCAGCGCAATGTTGCTTTTAAGCTGTTAAAATTAAAAACATGTTATCTGTTTTTGCGGCTGTGCTGAAGTGTTCCATTTGATCACTGAGGAGGAGGCACAATTAAATTTAGCTGACTGCAGCTTGACAGTCCTTCCATAAGTTTTTAAAAGGAAAAAACAACACACTGCAAGGAGTCAGTTGTTACTGGCACGTGTAGACCTTTTAATCTATTTCGATAGAGTAAAAGCACTGGGCCCAACGTCACTTTATTATCGTGAGAGCCAAGTGCTATAAAAGTGCTATTGTCCTCGCAGATTTATGTGCCATTTTTAAATGACAATTGATTTTGATAAGCACGAATTCTGAATTGATTTGCATCACAAGAGGCCATTGCTCTCTGTTGCTGTGCTGGAAAGTGTGGATTTCTCTGGCAAGCTGCCATTCCGATTTTGCATTGAAATAAGAGTAGGCCAATGAACATGAAGGGTACGATTCTTCACTTGGCAGATATTTGCATGTTGTGACTGGAAGGACAAAGTGGATATGAGCTTTGCATCATTATTGTATTGGGCAAGTTTCCTTACTCCACACAGAGCCTAATAATAATCCCTCCAAAACAAAACAATAATAAATTGGTCATTTTCAATCCACGAGTGTTTGTGGGACGCTGCTGTGCATAATTGGCTGCCGCGTTTCGCCCACAAATATATGATCAATTCACTTTATCGCATATTCTGTGAAGCGCTTTGCGACGGCTAGAAGACGTGAAAAGCGCTATATCAAACGCAAGGATTATTATATTATTATTGTTGTTGGCTGGATTCTGGATTTCCACTCAAAACATATTTAACTCTGTTGAACCTTTGTCGTGTCTTTTAACTTTCCTGTTGGAGCCCAGTGGTTGCTTGCAGCAGCCTGGCCCAGTGTATGACAATGGAGGAACGAAAGCAGGATAGGATAAATATCTACAAAGACAGTGGTTTTACAGAATATGGATGATATTGAATCCGCACAGAAACAGGCCATTCACTTATCAAGCCGGTGTTGAAGTCATCAGATGCCACCAGAGGCAAACAAACCATCTCATTGCTGTAGATTTCTCCTAAAAGGTCAGCACAGCAATGTCAGAAGCTCTGTACATGAAGGCAACTGCCTTGAACTTTGAAGCATCTGATACCTTCAACCCTAATGTGGATATGTTGTTGAAAGAACGGAGTCCACTGCAGGAATGGTGATCATCATCTTAGTGGAGTTTTTCTAACTAAGGTTCAGAATGTCGCCCTTCAGTTCATTCTAACTGTCTGTGGCTATGTTATCCCTTTCATCACGTGCATAAGAGCATTTATTTTCAGTGGTGAAAAGGTTGTAAATTTAATCTGATTGTGTTCAGCAAAAGTTTGCATTGTAATATGTGCTTCATCATTCCAGTTTTAAAAAAATCAATCGAACATTCGTGGCTTTTAAATCTCAAAAGGACAAGCTAGCTTGCTTCTATATTTATGATAGATGCTTGTAGGCAATATGAACTCCTCTTCCAACTCAGTATAATAATGCAAGTTATAAATATAGCCTTAATATTTAACCAAATAATTCATATGGTGACCTGGATATTAGAGGAAAATTTTACATTAGACAAAGTGCCATATGGGGATATTGCATTTGTTCATCTACAGCTGACTTCATACCACTAAACCAGCTCTCTATATCCTGCTTAATTTAGAATACAGATGCAGACTTCTACTAAAGAGAAAGACAGGATCATGCATCAAAAAGAGTAACTGCATTTGGGGTTTTGGGGGGTGAATGTTTGCCCTGTCTGGATTTAGAGTCTCTTAGATTGATTTTGTGCAGCTAATGCATCTGACTAATAGGCACGATGGAAGAATACACTTTTGGATCAGCACTCTGTGCGGCTTGTTCTGAAGGCACTAATCATGAGCAGACAGTGATAAGCACTTAATGGCCCCCTGGTATTAATGCTACCGAGAAATAGATCTGGTTTGCAGGCAGCTGTAGAGAGGTCAAACACAAGGAGTAACAAGGAAGCTATGCCCTGTGATAGGGCAGGCCTGTAAATGCAGCAATGCAGGAAAGGATGAGGGGGTCAGCCATATTGGATCAGACAATACTGTTATCATTGCAATCCAGCTGGATGGAGGATCATTTAAGAGATTGCCCTCACCATTGGTGCTTTGTGAGTACGGTGCATGGAGTCACTGGGCCATTGGTCCACAATTTTTCCATTACATTAAGGGGATTGCACTGGCATCCCATTATTTTGCATCCCACCTATCTTTAAAGTGTCCTTAAATGTATATTTTGAACTGTTTAAGTGGAAGTACACAAATGCTGTACAGCTGATTAGCAAGCTTTCTGTGTTTTAGGCAAAACCCAACGTGAACTCAAAACTATTTTTAACCACTGTTGAAAAACATACAAAGATTTCCCCTCAATCTTTCATTAGCACTTGGGTATATGTATATATTGCTTTTTATTGAATTTTTCTGGTAATTTCTGATGGTTTGTCTTTACTGAATATAAAATCTACGCACGAAGGGCAAATTGTTCCATAAATAGAAAGGTGATGTCTTCTTGCAATTGTGTTTCCAAAACAACAACAGCCAACTCAATGGAATTCTTTTCCACTGAGCTAGCAATTACCTTAATTGAATAGTTCATTGGCCTCATATAAAGACACTGACTATGATTTAACACCCAAGTCACCAGAGACATGAATCTTCCTGTCTCTCTGCTTAGAGTATTTTCCTGGAGTGCATCTGCATTCAAGTTGCTTCTTAGCATACTCCATCAATCATACTGCCACCTCTTAGCATTCCTACTCCTGAAAAATTAGTTTAGCTTTCTGATACAAAGCATAGCTTATCAGGTTAAAAAAAAATCACACCAAAGCAATATTGAAGAGATTAAAGTAGAGCTCCCTCATCGCTCTCCTGGTAAAGTGAAGTCAACATTAAAACTGGAATGCTCCCTCAACAGTGTGGTTTACTGTTGAACCATTCGGATTATAAAACCTTTCCCTAATGCTGCAACTCACTTCTGATAAATTAAAAGAGAGGATGGCACGTTTGAGAACAAAATGAATCAAACTTGACAATGACAGGATGATCCATCAAGACATTAAGTTACAATACAAATTAGGATCATTGTTTGTAAATTAATAATGTGTTTTTTTTAAAAACTTGTACTAGGTTTGTTGCATGGATTCATTCATTCAATACTCTCTCTCTCTCACTCGTACGTGGGACTGGAGCAGCAACTGTACGCATTAATTGTTTGAGGTGTGGCAATAGTTGCTGTTTAAGCGAGGGGACAAAATGTCAATTACACTCCAAGCAGATTCGCAGACTTCGATTTCAAGGTTTGCAGATAAATAACATCTTGTTACAGTAGCTGCTCCAAATAGTTTTGCTTCCAAGCTTTCTAGTAATTTATATATATAAAAGGCTGCAAACCATGTTGAGACTAAGGAAATACTCCTCACACACCCATATTATATAAAATATACCTTTAGGGTTGTTGTACACTGCCACTGGTGTACCACAAGGATACTGTAAAAGGGACGAGAGTATACAACAAGATTGGTTTCTTCTAGAATCCAAGCAAAGGTGAGGTAAAGCACCTGTACCAGTTAGGCTAGGACTAAGAGAAGCTGGGAAGTGGGTTTGTACTAATCTGTTCACATTCTTGGTAAAATATAGAGCTTCTCTAGTAGGATATTTGAATGGTCGCTATGCTTAAGTAACATCAACCTGTTTGTAAGTAATGTATGTTCAACATTTCTGTGAGGATAATCAACTGGTGGGTCAAGACCCAACTAAGAGGCTATTGGAGACTGGATTCAATCTTTCCGAGGTATTCTATTGCTTATTCTGTGAAAATCATGTTAGGAACAGATCAAATGCCCCCACGTTTTGTGGCTGATTTTATTGCATTAATAAAGTAATATCATGTACAATTACAAATTCATTTAAACAAAAAAAACAAATCAAGTTCACTATTTATAATTTCAGATACCGTGGTTTCATTCATTGACGCTTATATAGGCTAGACCTACAAAGGCACAAAATATTCAAAATGGTAACCTTTTGTGTTGTATCATTTTAGCTAAATGAAATGTTATTCTGTATTTTATTAATTTGTATAAAAGTCAAATTCTCTTTACATTATCAACCAAAACAACAAACAATTTGTTCTTAACTGCCAAGACATGTTACTTTCACGTCGAAGAAGTATATAGCAAACGTACAGAATGATAAACTACTTAAAAGTTGTTATTTTTTTAATTTGGAAACAGAAGAAACCCTGTAAATGTGCTGTCATCATCGTTGCTAGCATAAACTCCATTCCAGTCTCGATTAATCTCCAACCACAGTTGGTCATTGGCGTTTAATCTAACAATAATCATGCCAGACGCCTGATCTATGTCTTGACCAAATATTGAATCTCTACTCTTCAGGATCCGAACACCATTTTTTATCAAACTAATTCTTATGGGTCTGCTTCTGACAGTCAAATGGTACGCAAACAGATAAACACCTTCCATGGTGCAGGTAAATTTCCCGGTTGAAGGATTATAACTGTCCTGTTCATTGTAGAAAATCTTCTCAAATTTTATTGGAGTGCCAATTGCAGGGAAGGATTTCCCAGGTTGTAACCCAACACTGAATGCAGATGGGCTACTCTTTGCATCTTCACCTTTGGATCCTTTTACACCTTTTACTCCACGGCCACCTCTAGGCCCACGGACACCTTTGGCACCAGTTCTTCCTTTTTGTCCCAGTAACCCAGCTGGCCCTTGTATCCCTCGGTCACCCTTGTCTCCTTTGGCTCCTTCATCGCCTTTGTCTCCTTTCACTCCATCAGTTCCATCAGCCCCAGCATCCCCCAGACTTCCCTTTTCTCCTTTTTCACCTGGAGCCCCTTCCTGTCCTGCATCCCCCTGATCACCTTTCTCTCCAATATTCCCACATTCTCCTTTCTCTCCACCATCTCCCTTCTCACCTTTCTCCCCTTTTTCTCCAGTTAAACCAATTTTTCCCACATCCCCCTGGTCTCCTTTGTCTCCTTTGGTACCGTTCTCACAAGGACCTCCTTTATCCCCCTTATCCCCTTTAAATCCCGGAAAACCAATATTTCCTTTATCTCCTTTTTCTCCCTGATCACCTGAAAATAAAAAGCAAAGATGTATTTATTGTTCAGAATTTATGATTTACTCTAAAGTGTAGTGACAGTGTATTTGTAGGCAATAATGAAGTAATTGGAAGCAAATTGCTTAAACTATATAGACATTAATATGATTCATTAGTTCTAGTAAAAGTATCATCACAATAGAGATAACATTACCCAAGAGCATCATTCCAGGCCTTGATGCTCACACAAATCATAAATGAATATAATAAAAGCAAACAGAGTGAGCTATGGAGAGCATTAAGAGACTGAAGATCACAAGATGGGTTTGGATGAAGAAGGCCCTTCATCTTTCATGAAATCTCATCCTTCCAAAATACTCACCCTACAATCCACCCATCACAGCACAGAGCTTTTATTTTGTTAAATAAGTCCAGTGTCCTGGTCTTAATCACCCTTCCTGAAGACGAACAGTGCAATTCCATTCATACTTTCTTATAAGTGAACAGAATTGATGCCTTACTTGACATTGGCACTAACTGCAGGTATAATCCAATGATTGTACTGTGCAATATACATTTCATTTTGCTGCAGACCAAAAACTGTGCTTTCACACCAGGGAGGTAAGCATTCTTAACTGTAGCTAATTCAATAGTTCACAGGAATTTGCTTTTTTTTTTGCTTTCTCCAATAGTCATCCTGGAGTCAAAGCCAATTGAAAATTGGGTAGAAGAAATGTATAAATTGTTGCTATAGAATATTAATACATTTCCTCATGAAAAATCGCCTCAAACCCATGGAGAGTAGGATGTATTGCCTAATTATCTTTGCTATTCACACATACTACAAATCACTATCAATCCCATGATGTGGGAATAGGTAGATCAAATAATGCTGATGCTTCTACTAAATGCCATCAAGATTTCTGTTTATCCCATTTCAAATTTCACATTCTCTTTTTTCAATTATTTCAACGTGTTCTGAACCAATAATGCTTCAAATCACTGGTGCTTTTTAAACTAGAAAAAATTGAAGCAGTCATTTTGTGTAATGCTATTCTGTGCATTATCTAATTAGTAAGGAGTTCAAATTTGTAATAAAGATAAGATAATCTTATTTTCCATTTCCATGATAAAATGTAGTTAGAATTGCATTGTTTGTGGAAATGTTACAATATCATGAACGAATAAATACTCACATTGAGCTTTTAAGTTTATTTTGTTGCTTTTTTTTAAAAAAAAAGGTTCATTTATAAGTTTACTAATTGAGAAAATTTTGATTCAAATCAATTTCATCAATAGCAGATGTTTGGAGATGATTAAAGTAAAATATTGTTATTTCATCATCAATGAAAAAAGGTGGTAAAATTAGTAAAAGTCAACATACCAATTGACTTAAAAGCAATCTGCTGTTCCTCTGAATAATACAATCACTTTACCTTAGCTAATCACATAACAATATACTTTACAAACATTAATCATCATTGATATGTTTGGTCATAATGTTGTGTACATTAGGACATGTAACATGCCCTTGTGTTAGCAATATACACTCTACCTTTTTCCCTGGCTTTCCAATAAACCCTGGAAGTCCATCGAATCCATCCACTCCACGATCCCCTTTTTCACCTAAACATTAACAGTTTTTAAATCAATGCATTAAGTTTCGAGATGCCTGACATTCTACGTAGTAAGTTACCCCCACCCCCCACTTTACAAAATAATAATCTAATAATAATCTTTGCATTTGATATAGCGCCTTATCACATCTTCAAGACGTCTCAAAACGTTTCACAGAATAAAATGGAGTACATGAGAGAGTTGCCCAGTAGAAAGATATCATATGGAAGAGATTTATGCTAATTTCAAACGTTCACTGTTTTCCTCCTTTAAGTTGAATTGATATTAAATAATTAGGAAATATAGCTTTAGTCTACCTCTTTCTGCAGTGGCGCCCTTTATACCAATTGGCCCTGCAAGTCCTGGTGGACCTCTTATGCCCTGTTCACCTTTTTCACCTCTGGGCCCTGCAAAAAAATGTAAACGTGAGTAAGTGCTTAAGTGTAATGCTATAAAGTCTATAAAAGGAAAGAACATTAAAGTCTCCAATTTTCAAATGATCGCATCCTTGCTTCAGGAGTATTTGAAGGACTTCAATAATAATGAATAATATTGATAATACATTTCACATTATGTATTACTCATTAACTAAAATATTATGAAGCTGAAAGCTATGGATTACAATGATTTATTACTAGTGTATCAATCTGTACCTGCTTGGCCTCTGGCTCCTGACGCACCCTTTGGCCCAGGAACAGGGGGGCAGCAATCACAACAGTTAAAAAAGAACTCGCTTGAATCGAGAGTAAAATTTTCTTCATTTTCTTCAAAAGGGGACAGGGTTGGAAAGGTGTCGAAAAAACGTAGAGATGTTGACTTTAATGTGGAGCTTTCAGACGAAATATCTGCATTGTCAGTGCCAAGTTCTTCTGCAGGTTCAGTAGCAGTTGGAAATGGAGTACCCGAATGAACATCATCTGGGATTTTCTTGAAATCATGATTTGGCGGCGGAGTGGTTTTTGCAGTTATTTGCGTGATGCAGATACACAGTAGAAGGAGCTTTGTGTGCCATGATAGGAGAAACATTTTCACACCTGAAAAATAGCATGAGTTAATGTTTTCGCCTCAGTAATGAAAGCAGGGGGCAATGTATCCAAATCTTGTACCATATTGGAGTCCTTTTTTTGTGATTTTAAAAAGAGATACACCCACAGATACATAAACATCATAAAGAATTGTGGTTTCAGAACACAGATGGCTTGAGTACTGGCATTGCACAAGAATTTTAGAAGACGCGAAAAGCACTATATCAAATGCAAGGATTATTATTATTATTATAATACATCCAAAGGACAGATTCTTTAAGTGATAAGAATAACGCTAAATTGTTTCACTGAATGCCTCATTAGGTATTAGTTTTCAGTTTTGCACAGCAGTTACTACAGTCTAGCACAATAGACAGAGAATCTTGAATACTAATTTATTTTAAACAAGTGAAAGGTTACATGAATCACTACAACATTATCATTTGTGACAGGGGTATAATTTTGCTTCCCAGCTGCCACCCACTTCAAAAATAACAGTGTGAATGTGTGCCTTCACATTTAAATAATACATGTCACTTTACATTTTTAAAGTGGAATATGCCTACGTTATTATTGTGACAGATCAGCAATCAACAAAATATTTACCTTAACTGTATATATTGAGTTGCAAAGTATTCAAAACAGTGTTAGGCAGATTTCACAATGAACAGCAAAAGTCAAATTCAATCTGACTTGCAATCTTGACATGGAAATGTACAGCACAAATCTCAAGCAATAGTTTCTAAATTGGCTTTTATGTTCAGTCAGTTTGCTTAACCAGAGTAGTTTAGTTAGAGCTCTATTTAAATAGACATGAACATTGTAATAGGCAGTAAAAGTATGACTGATGTATTTAGAAAATGCAATAAGCGCTCATTAATATTTCAGGTCTTTTTGATAGAAGCTTATTAACATTCCAAATATAAGCAGCTAATCCGTATATTTGTAATATGCTCCAGACATGTTGAAAATAATTTATTCAGCGAATCCTACTTTTATAAAGTTTCAGCATGAAATCAAAATGAGCCATTTTAAATCTGTGCAAATATAGACTGAATGTTATAGGCTAGGATTCAGATCCTTATTTGAGTACAGCAGTTATGTGATACAGCCTCCAAGACTGCATCTGAATAAACCCCTTGTGAATTTTCATCCAGTAATTGTATAACTTCCATTTTTATAGTGCTTATAAATGCCAATGCCTCAAAGCACTTCACAGTAAATACCATCGCATAAATTGACTGTTTCTTGTAAGCAAACTCACTAGCCATTTTGCACAACAACAAAGTCCCACAAACATCCTTCAGGTTTATCATCAATAAATCTGGAGGGTTGTTGGCCAGGAAAGAGAAAGTCCCTTCTTGTGTGGCACTGTATTAGCTTTGACTGTGAGCTTGTGTCCAAGGGACTTCTACCCACAACCTGTAACCCAGAGGCAAGACTACTTCCAACTGACAAGCCAAGCTGACACCAAAATAATAATAATGAAAGAAAGTAGGTGGCATCACAATTCAACCTTAGTCTAGGGATATCAGAAACAACTTCTTTGATCATCAACTGAAATAGAAATTGCACGGTCGAGAACACATCTGTCATAAAAACATTGTATTCACATAATGTATTCACATACAGTAATTTAACTTATATGAATTGCTGTCATCATCCCCTCCCCCGTCCCCACCGTCTGTCCATCCCTCCCCCCCCACCCCCCACCGCCCCGTGTGTCATGCACCACTACTATCAAACGCTCTGGGACACTATCCTTCATGAGGGTCGCTATTTAAATGCAAGTCGTTGTTATAATTCATGGGAAAAAGGGAGTAATGATCAGATGATGAGAAGAAGATTACACAAGTACATTTCTATAGTCATTTGAAAAAGCTCTTACTCATAATCAATAACCTCAAGACGGTTTGCAAAATTATTTGCCAAACAGCCTTGAGACTTGTGACAAAACACTTGTGACAAGTGAAGGCCAAGAAAAAAATGGGCAACAGTTAAGATGTCATTGTCAAGACAAAATCACATGCATTATCATTCATTAGTCTGCCCATTCACAACTACTTGAAAAACAATAATAAATTAGTCACTCAATCCACGTCCGTTTGTGGGACACTGCTGTGCACAATTGGCTGCCATGTTTCGTCCATAAAATATACAGTCAATTAACTTTAGAATATATTCTGTTAAGCACTTTGAGCACTTTGCCAAATGCAATTATTATTATTATTATTATTATTCCACTGTGAAAGGAGGAACAAAATCTTTGCCATTTGACCTATTTTATGATTGGTTGAGGTCAACATGGTTGGAAGAGATCAACTTTGGAAATAATTCTAAACAGGAAATCTCAGGTGTCCCTGTGAATTCTCACCGTTTCTGCTCTTGGAACCTGTAAGGCAAGATATAAACAGAACCACTGTGTTTGGATCCTCAAGAGTACTGTTTGCCTGTGCTAATGTACACTGTATTGCAATCACAAAGGGATGCTTTTAAGTCTACCTGGGAAACCAAAAACCGACAAGTTCCACAACTCGCCTTCATTACTAAATTGTAACCCAAGGATTCTCCAAGTTGCCGCTCCGTTGATTCTGTAAAGCTGCTGAAATAGAATATTCGATGGCTTTTACAGCACCAACAGAGATTTGATTAATACTTAATGCTTGCTTCCTAGTAGTTTTCAAAGTTGTCAAGAAACAACTTTTTAAAGGCAATAGGTGAAATGCAATCTGCATTGACACAGCTGAGTAAGATGACTCCAATGGAAAATGCTCCCATTCCTCAGCGAGTTTGTAAATTAGAGGTTCACTCAGCAGTGTTTTCATCAATGCCAATTGCTTCCATATTGAGGAACGAGGAGGACCATCACATGTAAAAATAAATAGAAGCATAGCTCTAGCAAGAATTACAAAGCTCCATAAAGTCCAACTCTTTTTATTTGCCTCCTTTTCGCAATCACCAATACAGAATGAAAAAAAAACAGACCCAATGCCACGCACCACTGGGTTAGTATATAGTGTTGCAGAAATAAGAGAGCCTCGTTTTTTAACTTGTATCACAAACTTACCTCCTTCGAAACCTTAAATTGTACCAAAAAAGCTTTTGCCAGCCCAGCATGCATCCAGTTGGCATAATTAGACCCATTCCATTTCAAAAAAGTTTAGATACACGATGAAAAGCAATCACTTAGTGCGATTTCAAGGTATTAATATTATACTCCATGTAATAACGTTATAGCAAAATATTTTTTGGGGGGGAAATGTACAATATACAAATATTCTTTCAATGTTAATGACAATTTCAATCGTATTTTACTGGCATACCTTATGCAACTTTTGCTGTACCATTTATCCAAAACCTTCGGGACCAAATCGACTAAATGAAAGAAAGGTCTTCAAATCATTGATTTATTTATTAGTTGTTTTAGTCCACAACCAATGGTAAGGTTTGGGGTAATGTGGGTCCAAGCGATTGGCTAATTCCTCCTGAAGTCTCTCCTGTGTAAGCTCTGGCAGCAAACAGAATCCGCTACTATTTTACAAGGTTGTGGACTTGCATTTCAATTTCAATGGGTTTTTATTGTCCCTTTTTTCAAAGGCTTCTCATTGAAGTCCAAACATTAGTTCGAAGAGTCATCCAAGACTTGTCTAACATAACGTGCTTGTTCTGAAGAACTGGTACTATTGGGTTTTAAACTTAGTCACGTTACACTTGCAACTAAATTTAATAGCAAAAGCATTCACTTTAACAAAGATGACTTTCAGATGAATGCAGCAGTGTATCAGAATACACACATAGGGAATAATATTTAACATTTTCCGATGGATGTGTTAAGCAATTAATCATCAAGATACCAACTTTATGACCTTTGGAAACATTACTCGTATTCTGTATCGGGACACATTGAAAATCCAAACATATTCTACATCCACATATATCATCATTTAGTACGTTCCCATGTTTCTTCAAATCAAATTTTAATGGGGTTAAAATCAAACCCAGAGCGATACTTTCAAACGCACGAAGTTAGTAAAACACACGTTTGGAGATGCAAAGGTAATTTCAGGACAGACACCGGGAGTATTTATTTTACCCAAAGGGCAATTCATAATCACAAGAAAAGAAGAAGTTGCCAGGTCGAGAGGTTGAGGCCAAGATCCTGGATTCATTTTGAAAAGAAACAGCTCGTTTCTGCGATGAGAAGTTAGAGTGCGTTATTCTGGGATGAGATCCATCGCATTCATCACCAATCTTGTGATATGAGGATTAGTAGCTTCAGTAACAGCTATATTCTCAAAGATAGTCATTGCCACTTCTGGGTTTGAATTGACATCATTTGGAAGCATATGGCAATTTGTAGTAACGCCACAGCATTATAGCTGGTTTTATTCTCTTGAAATCTAACATTGGTGAATGCAAGTAAATTAGATTCTGGACCCGCAGACTGTTAGCTCTTCAGGTACAGTTCCACCATCACCTGAAACCAATAGTGTACAGTGGATGTGATCAGTGTTGTGTTGGGGAGAAGGGGAGAGAGGAAGTGTGAAAAGGGGCAATTATTCCAGACTTTCTATTCGGAGTAGGAGATTCTGTTCCCATAGTAGTGCAGTATTTAGATGATACAATCTGATCAAATACACTATATTTAGAAATGCAAAAGAGTGTACGATTGTAACATAAGGTCTGATCTCTATGTGAAAGCAGAGTGAGAGAAACTTGGCATTACTTTGCACAGTAGCTCCCACTTAATGTCACAATCCCCCCTTCTCACGAGCTTTACTGTTTAACTCGACAACATCATCAGAATTGACAGATGAATAGCGCGGTATCGGTTGGTTAAATCAATTGGGATCGGTTTACACGGCACTGCGCGTTAATTGAAGGGAAGTTGAAAAGTTAAGTCTTTGAACACTTCTCGGAAATGTTACTGATTCGCAATGCTCAGCACTCCCTCCCTCCCTCCCTCCCTTAGGAATGAGAGCATTTCAACCCAATCTGACCCGAAAGGCAGACTCCTCGAATATTAGTTACTGGT